ATAAGCAAACCAGCAACACATGCATCATGATTTTTTGTACACTTCTTTACCGCCACGTCACGACTACAACGTTAAATTACCCGTTTGTCACGTTTCGCTGAGGAAGTATTAGAACACACGACAACGACGACGACGAATTTTAAGCGAGTTGGAATAATTGCAACAAAGCATTAAAACAGGAGAAGTCCTTTGAACAGTGACGTTTTCGCTGTCGTCGCCGTCGTCGCTGCTAAAGCTACCTAATTCTTATGGGAACTCCACTACAGCAGATATAAGTAGAACTTCGGTTCTGGTAGACTGCATGAGTCCGCTCCTGAGTATTTTTTTGCGTCTGTATTTTATCCCGTTAGATCGTATTAGGGCTTCTGATTCCCACCACAGTACTTTCACTTGAGTTTCATCTCGTACCGGAAAAACAAAAGGATCTTTGGATGGGCAATCCCACCTTCAGCTCAGACGTTCCTGAAAAGGGAGGGAATGAAGGAAGTGAAAAAGGGTATGTGTGCAGAATCCTAGCTTTCCTAAAACATTTTAAGCACTTTGCCTATTGAGAAGCGTGAATAATGTTAATGTTGTTGTTGCTTAGTAATTGATTGGAGGAAGTTGATTGAAGAAGAATGTAGAGTAAGTTTAAAAAAAATATTGCGCATTGCCTCAAAGTATCAAAAGAGTGTCGGTGTCCAGGAATTAAACTATTGAGGTTCTCAAAGATACAACATCGTACTTTCTAGTCAATTTTCTGGGGAACAAATGTTTGCAATTAGTCCTGAACATTATCAATAACTATAGCCTCTGTATTAATTGTCTCTTAGAAACATTTCCTCAGTGAGTGAATTCGACCCGAACATAGTATGGCGGGAAAAAGAAAAAGGATCCCTGTGTAGGAAATTGACATGGAGGGAAACGTTTAGAGCGTTCTACCATGCTCCAGCAACTAAATTTTGGGCCAACGTGGTGAGGGACGATTGTTTTTTGTTTGTTTGTTTGTTTGTTTTTATTCTTTTTGCTGGAAAAGATTTTATATATAAGTTGTAGCATTTTTCAAAATGCCATTATTAGATATGAACAAATAAGTTGTCCCCGAGAAACAGTACAAAGGATTAAGGAACTCGGTATGTCTAGATTTATACAAGTTATGGTGAAATATTATAAATCGACCACATCTAACGACTTTGTAGTCCGGTGCTCGTTTGACTTAAGTTGGTAGAGCTGACAAGTCTGCAAATCGGGGGATCGTAGTTAGAACCCACGGTAGGACATATAACAAGGCCCGTATTTAAGAAAAAGAGACTATTATAACATAGCGCGCGTGCTTGCCCTATATATGTCCTATTGAGCCGCTGAGAACAAAATCTTTATTTACGCACGCCCGTGCGTAAATAAAGACTTTGTTCATGATGATGTGTTCAGCAGTGTTTTTCGTCTCTTTTACTTAGTACCCAAAAATCGACGGCAATGAGAAAAAAACTTTCTAGAGTTTTTTTTGGAATTAAGCTTCGTTCTAGCCACTCAGACTCAAACCAACAGCAAAAGCGGTGGAGATGTTTCGAAAATAATAGAGACTGAATAACTGGTTGAAAATGTCTGCCGTAAAGACTGACATTTAAGTGGAAAAAGACCACAAATTGGTCTGTGTCGGAAAATATCCAATTTGTATAAAGTGTCCTCCGTTTTTAACGTTTGTTTTATATCCTTTACAAAACAAGTTAATTATAAAGTAAGCTCAACAACGAAAATTGTGCACTTTTGTTATCGCCGAACAATCTGACTGAAGCAGGAAAATTTCTCTTGCAATAACAAGACAAATTACACAAGAAGACATAAATTTATTACTCAATAAACAACTGCTGCCAGGTCTTCTCAAGAAGCCGTAATGACCAGCCATTGTTCATAAAGGAATATAAGTTTAAAGTAGGATGACAGTCGTCTTCGCTAAAAAACGGGTGTCTTGAAAATAGACCCCTAAGACCCCCACCCGAACGACTCTGAACTTTATTGATTAGGGTTAGGAAACTGAGTGAATCAGGCTTGATTTAAGTCATTATTCTGGACAAACTGACCTGAAAGTTGATTAACTCAGTTTCCTAACCCTAATCAATAAAGTTTAGAGTCATTCGGTGGGGGGTCTTAGGGGACTTTGTTTTCAAAACACCCCTAAAAAAACAAGTTTTCTTGATTTCGCCGAGCAAAACATAAACATCTTTTCAGCAAATCCAAACCATGCTCCACGACCTCTTTCGAACATGTGAGTATTTTAACTTTAGGTGGACTTTAAGACTCTTTTACCTTTTGTTTCTGCTTAGTTTTCATTGATCGTTAACGAATAAATAAGCAAATTTTCTTTCTCAATTTTAGAGAAAGAATTTTCATTCAAACTAGACGTTTGTGGCGTGTTTGTAATCAGCCAATAGAAGCGTTTGTTATTGTGTTGCGCGTTACGAGAATTTTGTAGTTAATCGAATAGCAAACATTTTTTTTTTCAGCTATGTTATAAAAGAATTGGCTCATGCTTTTAGCTGTGCGTATATCGAGTTATGGATGCATTTGGAAAGTTTGGAGAGCACTCAAGAAGCTAGGATTGCTCTCGGCTGCACCTCGAGCAACTCTTACGCATCTTTCGTGCCCTCCAAACGTCCCGCGTGCATCCATAACTGGATATACGCACGTTAAGCATGAACAAATTCTTTTATGACATGTTACAAGAAAAAATAAAAGGAACGATCACAGCGCCCGGTAGGAATCATTGTTACTCAGCTTGCGTTAATAGAAATGGTCCAGGAAATGAAAAATTCTGAAGATGGAAGTGTCAGTCGATCTGAACTGATCCGAGTCAAAGAGGATCACCTCCAGAATGAGAAAAAAAATTGTCCAGCCCCTGCTCCGAAACGTTGCAGATATGATTTGAGTGCAAACCCTTACATTAGATTTAGTACAAACATATCAATGTCACATTGTCTACTGCATAATTAAATAACGGTGCACTAAAAATAACCTCTATCTTGGTGATCAAAATTAACCCTACCCCTCACATTTAAGGATTATTGGCTGCGTAGGTCAGCAAAAATAAAAGTTAACTTGAAGATGATTTAGGCAGCTTACATGGGCTTTGGAAGTACCTAAAGAGCAGTGTTCGCTAAAGACAGAAGCAGGCGGCAAATTGTTCCACTGAATAATTGTTCGTGAAGGGCTTGTGGCTCTGAGCGTGGGTCATCCATATTTTCGCTCCTCAATGTTTTTATTCCCTCCTGCACAATTTTATTATTTTTCCCTCCTCAATGTTTTTATTCCCTCCTCCACAATTTTATCATTTTCCGTCCTCCACAATTTTATTATTTTCCCTCCTCCTTCTTGAATTCCCTCCCTCTCCACAATATTAATGGTTCCCCACCTCGTCCTCTTTCTTTTTATTATCCTCCTCTTTCACAATTTTTATAGTTTCCCTCCTCAATCTTGATTTGCCTCCTCCTCCACAATTTTATTATTTTCCCTCCTCCACCTGTGGACTTGCTGCTAGAATTTCCCGCTGCGAGTTTCCCTGCTTAAGTGCAATTTCATCGTTGAAAGTTGTTGACGACAGGAACATGTCCAGACTCCGTTCAAAGAAGAATTTAACTGAGGTCTAGACATTTTTCTGTCTGACGACTGTAATTCACTGGAGGTAAAAGAGAAGCTTTTTGATGTGGACACGCCTTCGAAATATTTAGAAAGGCTTATCACGACTATGTTAGCGAAGTTTGGGATGCAAATGCCATCGCCGAGGGCCAAAGTTATATCGAGAGAAAGGAGAGAAAGTATTTTATTTCCCGTCAGCAGATTATCGATTGGATTAAGCGGGTTGGTGACGATTTGTTGGCGCAATCACTGCGAGCTAGTGGACTCAAGGGCGGATCCCGAAAATTCCGTTGGCTGCGCTGGAACGCCGGTTCCTGCAAGTGCCTCGATGGTTTCAAGCTGTTATGATCAGCCAAGAGAGGATAAAGGGGACAGAGAAGACATCCCCCATACACACCCTATTCCATAGGTAATTCGTCTCGAGTTATTTTTAACACCACAAATCTCAAGGTGGATTAGACAAGAGCCAATCACATGGCGCGAATGTGTTGCGCGTGGATGACCCACGCTCAGAGCCACGCGCCCTTCACGAATTGACGCAGAACGACTACAGAGAGATTTCTCCTAAAGCTGTGTCAGCGAAACGGAAATTAAAAAAAAGAATAGCCCTTCCTCTCTTGTATAGAGCTAACAGTACAGCAGGGAAATCCTTAACACACTGAATGTTCTCTCTGGATCATTTACAATTTACAGTTTGAAGAGATTAATTTCTGGTTTGATATTTATTCTTTCATTAGTCTTTTATTATTCAACAAAAAAACACTTGGCGTCCTACTTGCTTTATTGCACAAACGACCGGTTTCAATAGACTGGCAAAATTTCTCATTTTATTAAAGCACTGAGGTTACGACAACTTCGAGTTAAACTGATTTCATGGGTTGTCAAAGAGTCCAGCGATTCCCTTTTCCTAGGTGAGCGCCAACTCATTTCGCTTCAATATTCAGCAATGCTCTCGATCTCTTTACGTTTTCACTGCCTTTCGCCCGACATGTTTTGCGCGACGTTTAGTCATGCGAAACCTCCACGAAACATGCACGCAGCGCGCGAGGTAACTTTATCCCGATTGTAAAAATAACTCCAGACGAATTACCTATGGAATAGGGTGTGTATGGGAGATGCCTCCTCTGTCCCCTTTATCCTCTCTTGGATCAGCTTTGCTGTAGTCTTTGGACTTCTAATGTTTTTGGGTCTGAGAAGGAAGTATGGCGATGATTACCGCATAGCATCCACTTTTACGAAACGAAGGCCCTCGATTGGCAAGCATAAAGGCAGGATGGTGTGGTTTTGAATCTTTTTTAGTCTTTCTCGCAAGTTGCCGGAACGCTTTGGCAGGCAGCCAGTACATTTCTAAGTTTGATCAGCCAGCAAACATTCAAAAGTTGGTGCTC